TGTGTGTGTCTCTGTCTCTGTGTGTGTCTCTGTGTGTCTCTATGTGTCTCTGTGTGTGTCTCTGTCTCTGTGTGTGTCTCTGTGTGTCTCTATGTGTCTCTGTGTGTCTCTCCGTGTGTCTCTATGTGTCTCTATGTGTCTCTGTGTGTGTCTCTGTCTCTGTGTGTGTCTCTGTGTGTCTCTATGTGTCTCTGTGTGTGTCTCTGTCTCCGTGTGTGTCTCCGTGTGTGTCTCCGTGTGTGTCTCTGTGTGTGTCTCCGTGTGTGTCTCCGTGTGTGTCTCTGTGTGTTGTCTCTGTGTGTCTCTGTGTGTCTCTGTGTGTCTCTGTGTGTCTCTGTGTGTCTCTGTGTGTCTCTGTGTGTCTCTGTGTGTCTCTGTGTGTCTCTGTGTGTCTCCGTGTGTGTCTCCGTGTGTGTCTCTGTGTGTCTCTGTGTGTGTCTCTGTGTGTCTCTGTGTGTCTCTGTGGTCTCTCTGTGTGTCTCTGTGTGTCTCTCGTGTGGTCTCCTGTGTGTCTCCGTGTGTGTCTCCGTGTGTCTCTGTGTGTCTCCGTGTGTGTCTCTGTGTGTCTCTGTGTGTCTCTGTGTGTGTCTCAGTGATTTACATGCTTTCCCTCTCTCACTTTGTGTCCTCCATGTTTCCATCTCTCCCTTTGAACTCATATTTTCCACCCTCTGCACGTTGTGTTCTCTTCTCTAACCGAGCGCTCTCCGTTCTGCGGGGGAAGTCACGCCTCATTAAACGAAGATCATCCCATATCGTTTCCATCCCTCTCACCCTTTAGCTTTCAGTTTGCTGCATGGTGATTGGTCCTCTCCTGCTTCTGTCAGAGCTGCATGGTGATTGGTCCTCTCCTGCTTCTGTCAGAGCTGCATGGTGATTGGTCCTCTCCTGCTTCTGTCAGAGCTGCATGGTGATTGGTCCTCTCCTGCTTCTGTCAGAGCTGCATTCACTGTGACCCTGAAGCCATGCTGCTTTGAAGCCGAGTGTCACATGCAGTTTGGTGTTTTGTCTCAGGTAGAGGACACAGGGTTTCAGTGAACCTGGACATGTGGAGACCCCAAAGTGTTCTGATAGAAGTGCAGAGTAGGGTCTGCAGCTCATAGAGACTGCTGGATGCTAACCTGCAGATGTTGGGACATTCACACAGTTAGCATCAGTTGAGTTAGTTAGCATTGTAGCTTACTGTATGTGGACAATAGTTACAAAATGGCTTGTTGTCTAAAAACAGTTAGTGAAGAATCCCTCTGCTTCCCTTTCTGGGATTTGCCCCAAATGTTGATATGTCCTCTCTCGGGACACGCTGCAGCTTTCCTCCAAGTTTCATTCAAATCAATGTGATAGTTTTTCTGTTATCCTACTTTACATTTCTATCATAACATCTCAACATCTCAACATCTCCGGGTTCACAGCAGGACTCGAGCTATACTATCATCTGTTTTAGTTTCTTTACGCGTTACCAACATTTGTTTGATATTTTTCAACATACTTTTACTTTGCCTTTGTGTGTAAACGTGTGTGTGTGTGTGTGTGTGTGTGTGTGTGTGTGTGTGTGTGTGTGTGTGTGTGTGTGTGTGTGTGTGTGTGTGTGTGTGTGTGTGTGTGTGTGTGTGTGTGTGTGTGTGTGTGTGTGTGTGTGTGTGTGCGTGTGTGTGTGTGTGCGTGTGTGTGTGTGTGTGTTAATGTGTTTTCCATACTCTACCAGCAGCAGCCTCAGGCCAAACCGAGAGCGGTTCACACACACCCGTAAAGTTCCCAGCAAAACCAAACCACAACACACACACACACACACACACACACACACACACACACACACACACACACACACACACACACACACACGGAGGTTAGCGGGGTACACTCTGCTTCTGGTGGTGAAACAACGACGTGTGTGTGTGTGTGTGTGTGCGTGTGTGCGTGCGTGTGTGTGTGTGTGTGCGTGCATGCGTGCGTGTGTGTGTTTGACCATAGATAAACTGAAGCTCTGAACAGGAAGCTGTAAATGTCTCGGTGTGTTCGAGGTCGAGAAAAAGTGTCCGACTTTACAAACTTCGTAACTTAAAGCAGACGCTCTTCTTCTTCTTCTTCTTCTTCTTCGGTGTGTTAAAGAGATTACAGTCGATACGTGGAAACAACATGGAGGCTACGGAGGACATGTGCTGTATTCACTCAGACTCCAGGAGGCATTCATGTGCATTTAGATTTCTGGATCTCATTGTTCCCATTATTCTGACGGCACCAAACGCAGCACAGATCTGACAGTGAGGTGAAGAAGCCCTCTGCTTCGCTTTTTGGGATTTACTCCAAATGTGGATACCTTCTCTCTCATTACATGCTTCAACTGTCCTCCAAGTTTCATTCAAATCAATCAGATAGTTGATCTGATATCCTGCTCCATGTGCAGCGCCCGTCTGACCTTCAGGAGAGGACTCTTTAAAGTAGAGACACTACATACTGATATACACCTGAACATCAGCAGGAGAGGACTCTTTAAAGTAGAGACACTACATACTGATATACACCTGAACATCAGCAGGAGAGGACTCTTTAAAGTAGAGACACTACATACTGATATACACCTGAACATCA